ACTGTAGAATGCACTCGGAAGGAGCACACAGCAAAGCTATGCAAACCGCAGGAGCTACACTCTGTTTTGCCGCAGCATAAGGCTGAAGGCCTTGATCAAAAGGATGCCGAAGGAACAGCTGGGCAATCACATCTCTGCAGGCGTGACCAAAGCAAGTAGAATGTTAAGGGCAGTATGCCTAGGATTCCACATGGCCCCTATTTTATGTTGCTTTTGAGGGGTCACCCTTGCAGATCTAGCGAATGCCTAGCATGAAAGAATGTCACTAGGTTCGAGGCTGTAACTGGCAACAGCGCGCGCTGATTTGCCAGCTCTACGTACTTCACACTACGCTCCAAGGCTCTCCACACGAGCTTTCTGCTCTGTTCAGAGCAACCAAAAGTTGTACGGAACGGAAAGGCTGCACTAGCGAAGCGAGGCTCAGGAATTCTCAGAGAACGCGCGTTCTGTGCCACGTTCACACCAAGCTCGCCCTCGCGGTGCCAGCCGCGCTGGGTGGACGGCTTCAGGACATAGCCGAGGATCGGGTCGTCATTGAGGAGGTCGTCGCCCGGAAGAACCGCCGGACTTGCCGAAGAAGAGGAAGTCGAAGTAGTGCGACGCTTAGCTCCCTTGCTGACTTGCTTGACGAACTCAGGGGAGTACTTTACGCACCACTCGCCCGACTTCATCGTGTTTCGCATGTGGGTCAGGTCCATCTCCTTGTGCCACCATCACAGGTTCTCAGTCGCCGTCCATTTCAGGGACGTCCACGGCCTCCGAAGGACAGAGCCAGGCAACCGTGAAGGCCAGAGACTTCTGAGTCCCATAGCTGCTGGTATCACTGTTGCCCTTGTCATGCACGTCCTTGGCGTCCACGACCACAGGATGCGGTGGGAGCGAGCATCCAAGATGTTGAACTTTCCGGCCGCGCCACTCATCAAAGCCTTGTCCGCCAAGACCACAAAGTAGCAGGCCTGCAGGAGTTCCTTCACAGGAGCCGTTGAGCTTCACACTGCCCAGGGAGGCGTCGGTAACCACCATGAGCCCGGCCGTCCGGTAGTCGATCGGCCTGAAGGTCAGCTCAAAGTTGGAGTCCTGACGGACAACGCGAACAGCAGCATTCGCTCGAAGCAAAGTCCGCACTGTTGGCTCGGCACTCTGAAGGGAGGACACGGTGAAGGCCATGTCAAAGCGAAGCTGCGCCACAAGCCATTGCAGACTGCCAAGAACAGCTCTAAGCTGGCGTCGTTCAAAGTCAGAGAGAGCAGCTTCAGGGTCTCGTCGTCGACTGGCCGGGAGTTTTGTTTTTAGCAAGTTGTGATGGTACTCCACCATCGAAAGCCGGATGGTCCCATCCTCAGCTCGTCGGATGCGTCTTCCGCACCACGCGAAGTCCTCTCACTCGATGGAGCCATATCCGAGCTCCTGGCCGACCTTGTCGAACGAAGCTCGGGCAGAGTCATCTCCGGATAGGAGTAAATCGTCAACGTGAGCCACCAGGATTCCAGATAGCTCTCGAAGGCCAGAGGAGGTAGTCTTCCAACGCAACCACAGCGCCTGGTCCAACTGGGACCGTTCCCATCCGTTCTCTGCCAAACAGCAAAGACCGAAGATCCCCTGGAGCAAGGGGATCCCAGGGTTGCTGCAGGTGTCGGTGGCACTCAGGTAGAGTTCTCTGTCAATTCAATGAACTCATCTCCTTTTAGGAACGCCGCCTTAAACGTCCCCGCTCATCAGACGCCAAAGCGGATGGGCGGCGGCCACACAAAACAAAAAGTGCTGAGCCAGACGACTCTCCGTGGGAGCGTCCCTGCGCACCAGGTTGTTCAAGTTGCTGTGGTCTTTGTAGCCGGGGACAACGAGACGAGCAGAAGCCTTGATCGGAAGATCGTGCTCCTTTGTACGAAGAGGCTCGTGCTTGTCAACCAGTACAAAGCGCGGCTTCATCACTCGGTCTGATTCGCCACGTCGCGCCAGCTCCTGGCGCGCTCTTGCACTTTCGGCCATCGAAAGCACTTCCACAGCATCATTGTCCACGTAGGCTTTCCATCCAGCCACTGCCGCCTCGTCAAAGAGCCCCTTGTTCTCCGACGAGAGCTTGCTGTAGGTGAACTCTCGCCTAGCGGCCTGAGCGGCCAGGGCCTCGTTCTCCACACCGACGGGCAAAGGAAGTCCAAGGCTCTCACGAAGCTTCCAGTCTCGCTCGCACATCAGGCTCCAGCGCCCATCCCACGTGCCAAGGTCGTACTCCAAGTTGTCCAGGCGAAAGCGCCGGTACAGCTCAGCTTGTGCTTGACTTGCAACAAAGGATGGCTCCAACTATCACCGCTCAAGGACTCTAACTGCTCATTGTCCAGAACCAAGGCCTCGAACGGTGCCCGTGCAGTCGAAGTAGTCGATGAAGCTGAAGGACCCTCAGGTGGTTGTCGAGATTCTTCACGAAGCTGCGGTGGTAAAGAAGGACCCGCTAAGTCAGGACCCTCAGGTGGTTGTCGAGATTCTTCAGGAAGCTGCGGGGGTGCTTGCTGAGGTTGACCTCCTGGAACTTCAGGAATGGAAGAGAAAGGCGCCGATGGAGGTCCTCGCTCCACATCCTCCGCCGGTCCCGAAGCAGAGCGCTTAAGGCCTCGTGGATCGGTCTCCGCCACCGCGTCGTCCAAAGACCTCGCCCTCGACAACGTTTGCTGAAACCACCTCTGCAAAGGACCTCGGAGAAAGCAGGAGCCGCGGTCGAGCCCGGCGTCCCGGGCACTATGGCCAGCGGTACTCCCTGAAACGGCTAACGCTTCAATGCATGTCTCTTGTACCCTTTTGTACAGCATGCCTCTCTGCAACCTGCTAGCCTGAGATTCATCATGACTCATCATTGCTCAGCTCTGTCGCAAAAGTCCGCAAAGAGCATGATGTAGCAGTATGCAGCATGTGTGGATATTTCGGTCGCCCTGTTCACATCCCTAAGAAGGGCTCTCAAGCAGTGACCTAGGATAGCCGTTGGTGCCGCGTCCCTGCGCAGGCTGGCCAAGGACGTAAAGAATCATGGAAGTTACAGCAACGCGGCCTTGGACAGCCTGCCGCCCTCAGAAACCACAACCAGCACGATCCGTAGTGCTGATGAACAGGAAACTTCTTCCTGCGCAGACCAAATCTTCATGCTTCGCTCCTTGGCTACATATATAAGGTATTCTTCTAAAAGTACTTTCCGCGCTACTGACGCTGTCGGCTGTTCTGCCTGATAGGCGGAACTGATCTCCCTAGCCTCAGGCTGGGGCTGCATCCAACGCCACCAGGAAGGCTCAAAGCCTTACATGGTGGTCATCGCCTTTCCGTGCGGTCCATGGTCACCGTTGCAGCAGCTCACCGCCGAGCAGGCCAAGTTGCAAAAGAAAAGAAAAGAGGCGAGGGTGCTCGTCGATTTCGCTGTGGAGGTGGCGCGGCTTCAGCTTTCACACCGCTGCCACTTCATCATCGAGAACCCGGACCCCTCCTTGGCGTGGCGGCTTCGTTCCCTGCAAAAGCTGGCCGATGAACCCCAAGTGATGGCAGCTCGCTTGGACCAATGTCGTTTTGGACTACGACCTGCGCCTGGCTCACGCTTTCAGACGTCATTCCAAAAGGGTTGTCCAGGACGCCCACAGAGTCCAGACGATGGTCTCGGGCCGGCGCCGGTTCCCTGTTCCGTCGCCATGGCCTACCCTCCTGCTCCAACCGGGCCAGTCTGTCGGGAAACACTGGCTCCCATTCCATGCTGCCATCCATCTCCTGCTCGTGGCTCGCCGCGATGTGTTGGCACACCTGGGACCACATGGCCTGAAACTTGGCGCCCCGCGCGGCCATCATTGCTTGGATGTTGGCCGCCATGTTGGCCATGGCCTCGTTGAGCCGCGTCGTGATCTCCAAGGTGGGAGGTGACGAAGACGTCGTGGACGGAGTCGCCGGCATCGGGCCAGAAGTCCTATAGGAGCGGATGTCGTGGGAGTCGTCGGCATAGGCATGGGGGCCGTAGACGCCGCTGCCGGAATAGTATTTGCCGTTGGCCTCGTGCTTGGTGCCGCCGCCTTGGCCGCCGGAGTGTCGTGACCTCGAAGTGTTCCAACCATGGGGCGGATCTTCTTCTTGATGGTCTCGACCGTGTCCTTCTCGCGATCTCCACACGCAAGAGGGCGGCCAGCTTTAAGAGGTCGGCCTTCAAAGTAGGAAGTCCGCCCCGCAAACCGAGCGTCGTGCGAACAGCTTCTTCTCGACCCAGGCGTTCGGCGTCTGCTTTGGCCTCATTCTTCTTTTCCTGCAAGACGGCTGCCCTCACAGATGCTCCCTTCGCCTTCTTCGCCGCCAGCATGCCCTCCACGAGCGGATCCTCCAGGAAAGCCGTGCAAAGCCCCAAACGGTTCCGCAGCCAGCCCACCTCGTGCAGGTTGCCAGCGGTCCAAGCCAGGCCATTGAAGCACTTCCGGGTCATCAAGCCTCGACTCAGCATACTCTCGGCTTGCTGCTTCCAGGCTGCAGGACTGGACACCGAGGGGTATGGGAAAGGCAAAAGACCGCAAGTATGGTCGCTGCAAAAGCCACAATAGAGCACTCCTCGTACGTGCCAAAGAGCTCGTGCGTGAAGTCGTGCGACCATGCGAGGCCATTTGCCGACGGAAGCCGCTAACCCAGCGCCGGTTGCCTCCATATGAAGGAAAGCTGGGGATTCAGAAGAATGGGCTTCCTGCACAGGTGCTCGAGCCGTAGGTGCCGGAGAAGATGCAAAGTCACCAACACAAGCAGTCGATGCCAAAGTCCAAGCAGCACTTCTCAAGCCAGACTCTGTCAAGTTGAACTCACTAGCCTGCACTCGATTGAAGCTACGCGACGGGGTCTGAAGCATGTTTGCCCACCACCGGCGATGCGTCAGCGCCAGCTCTACAACTCCATCAAGCCCAGGCGCTTGAAGCTCAGCTTGGGCTTGCTTCCCCAGCCATTGGTCAGGTCTGGGGGCAACAAGGGCAGCAGAAAGTGTCCTGCCCGCATCTGTTCCAGAGAAAAGTCGCTCACTCCAAGTCGCCGGCAGTCCAGCAGCTTCCGCTCGAAGTCCAGGCGAATGCCAAGAGCCTCCATGCAGTCTCTGCCCAGAAGCAGCCGCAAGGAAGGGATGTCGAGCACTGAAACCCAGAAGAGCGCCGGGAGCCGCCAACGTGCGTAGGAAGGAGTGCTGGAGCCGTTGCCAAAGCGGAAAGCCTCGCAATCGGACACTGTCGCCACCATCTCCTTCACGAAGCTCGGTCCTCCAAAGCAGCGCGGTACTTCTCAAGCCAGGCCGGCCCGCAGCAGGTTCCATCGCAAGCACTGTCCAAGGCTCCGACCAGCTCCACCATCTTCAGGTTCGGACGGCTTCAAGAAGAAGAAATGAGGGCATCTTGGAAAACCCCAAGTCGCCATGCGCCACGACCAAGGCCTCGCGAGACTCCTGTGTGCCAACGAGGCCGCCAATGTCGAACTCCATGACCTGCGCCTCGTGCTCGGCCACTCGAACTTGTCTCGCCGTTGCCGACGTCCTTCTTCCTTGCCAGGCCTTCGCCGGGGTGCTTGCAGGATGCATCCCCGGCCCAGTGGCCATGCTCCCCGCAATCGAAGCAAGGATGCTTCCCAGATTGCTTTCGAAGAGCAGCTGCCCCAGATCCACGACCACGACCGTCACCCTTCGAGCTCGAAGTCGGGGCCTGTGTCTTGTAGCCTCGGTCCTTGCGAACTTCTTGCAGACGTGCCCGGGCCTCGCGCATGGAAACCAAAGCCCAGCACCTGTCTCCACGGAGGCTTCCAGGCCTCCCAGGACTTCATCATCGGCTCCCTCTTCCGCCGCTTGCTCCAGCTCTGCCGCCAGAACTTCCGCTTCCGCCTGGAGCACCTCCTCAAGAGAAGGCTGGGCCTCCGCCGCGTCAGCGTCAAAGACCTCTTCAGTGTCATCCTCGCCCTCCTGCTCGTCAAAGTCGTCGCGTTGTTCCGCCACATGTGCTTGCCGAGGCGGAAGTCCACGCGCCGGTTGACGCGAAGCCGACGAAGCCATAGAAGATGATCATGATCGCGCCGTCGACGAGGTCCAGGGCCTAGTCATCGTCGTACTGGTAGTCGCTGTCGTACTCGTAGGCGAGCGCCTCTGGAAGAAACGGCTAGCCGCCAAGGACACCGGCTTTCGGTAAAGGGTGTCGCTGGTGCGCAGGTCCTTGAAAAGGCGCAGCGACTCGGCCTCGATGATCGCCTAGCCTTCCTTGCCCGCCAGCGCCGTGTCCAGAAGCTGCTGCCTAAAGGGTCTAGTCCAAGCTTCTCCTTCAGGAACCATCCCAACTCGGAGTCCGGAAGCACCACGCCCTCGGCCTTGAGGTCCGCAACGATCGTCCGGAAACAGGAGCAGAACTCAGACAATCTTTCGCCAGGCCGCCTGGCCAGCTCCAGATAAAACTGACTTCGAAGTTCTCCTCTCTTATCCAGAGCGGTCCTGCCATTGATGGACTCGAGCGCGCCCAGCAACTTATTCAGGCCAAAAAGCAAGTCTTCCTCTTCGACCGTGATCTCCGCACCCTCGGGGTCAGTAGACTTCACCGCCTTCTTGTACTCCAACTCTTTGGGGGTGAATTCCTCTCCCCTCTGCCTTGCCGGCCCAGACTGCCGAAGAAGCCAACGAGCTGCCAAGTTGTACTTCTTTGTGCTCTCTAAATCCAGGCTGCTCACCCACCAGTCCATCTCACGCCGAAAGCTTCGCCACGTCAATGGCGACCCGTCCCAGGTAGGGACCTTGTACCACGAACTCGTTCCTTCATCTTTTGACTCGGCCATCTTCTTCAAGAAGGTCAAGAGAAGGGTAGAAACGACGAGCTTGCCTCCACAGCAATGGCAGTTGCGAACTTCAAAGGCTCAGCCCGCCAGCCGCCAAGACCACGTAGAAGACCCGGAGAATCGGGTAGTGCGAGGTGATCTTGATCGGCGAGGCAAAGACGGAGTCGAAAGCAGCGCGCCCTGAATCGCAGCCAGCTCCGGTGCCACTGTAGAATGCACTCGGAAGGAGCACACAGCAAAGCTATGCAAACCGCAGGAGCTACACTCTGTTCTGCCGCAGCATAAGGCTGAAGGCCTTGATCAAAAGGATGCCGAAGGAACAGCTGGGCAATCACATCTCTGCAGGCGTGACCAAAGCAAGTAGAGTGCTAAGGGCAGTATGCCTAGGATTCCACATTTATAAAAACTTGGATTGCCAAAGCATTGCCAAACACGGTCTCCAAGCCTGGTAGAGGTATGGGGGCCGAGTCCAGGTCTGAAGTGGATCAGCCAATCAAGGATGCTATGGGTGCTGGCACCATAGGTGCTCCAGATGGCAGTCGGGCTTTTCATGGAGCCATTCGTGCTGCAGGCAAGCCTAGTTTGCATGGGGTCAACCACATGAAGAAAGTGTTCACGCCTGTGGCAAGACTCCTCAAGAGTAGCTTGGATGATAGGACGAAGCGAATGCTGCACGAGAAGACCAAGACTAAGGGATCCCGGAAGCCTGCAGTTCGTGAGACGAGCCGATACTTCAAGCTTGCTGCAAGTGATAACGGTGCTGAGAACACAGTGGGTTGCATCAAGAAAGTGATGCGGCGATTCGGGAACGTGGGCCGTACTTGTTCCAAAGGCCTCCAGAAAAGCATCCAGGCCATGTCTGCAGCTGCGCTGCGTAGGGAATGTGGCTTGAAGAGGGTTCTGGCGGCTCTCAAGGAATATAGGTTGGATTGTGCAAATGGCACAGTCCAGGTGGCCCCAAAGGATGCCTTCTTGCATGACAACTGCAAGTGGATCCTGGAGTGAGTGCTGGGAGAGAGTGGAGCGCAAAATGGGGTGCGGGCAAATAGGGGGGGGGCCGTAATATTAGTACTGATACTAATAATGATAGGATTCAACTCGGACCCCTCAAACAATTTTTGATTCAGGACGCGTAAGTTGTTCGGGGGGGGACTACTAAAGCGAGTGCAACACTAAGTATCTTGTTAAATTAAAAGCTGTACAAACCTACTCTGTTGACTGTACAACATACTACCTTCCTTACAAGAGTCGGAGATACCCTAACGCCCCACGGTCTTACATGCACGGGCTTTCTCCTTACTTGAAATGGCTGCGGGGGTAGGCACTCAGGCTCACATTCATGCTGCAGCAGATTTAATAAATTGCAGGAAGGGGTCATATTCGGCATGATATTATCACAAAGTTCTGCCTGGGCAAACCAAGAAAAAGAGAAAAGATAGAGAATCCATGAGCCAAACTTTCCGACGCAGCTCACGATTCCAAGACGCGCCCTCAGAATACGCGGCATGGACTTTCGTGGCGAAACTGGCAACCTGTTTTGATTATCGTGCACTCGGCCTAGCATGCAATGCAGGATCCCCTCCCCGAGTTTCAAAACTACCCTGGACCGCAGAAGCATTCGCTGCACGAATCACAAAGTCGGCCTAGCATAGTGCAGATTTGGGAGTGAGTTCGGTTGTGCCGCAAGACTTTGCGCACGTTTCGCCGTTCGTCCATTCAAACTCAAATGAGCGCTACCGTCAGCACCCGAGTTTGGCTCCGCGACCTGTCATGCCTTGAGGCATCTTGGGAGCATCCACTTTCATTTCATGAAGATTCTGAAGCTATGCTGCACACATCACGCTGACTGGCCCTGTCCGATTCAAACTATTGGGTCCGCTAGCTACAAAAAACCATGCAAGAGCTGCAGAGGGCAAACAACAGGGTGCTTTCCCACAAACCTCCCCCCTTCGGCGAGAAAGGTGTCATGCCCTCATTCCAATGCAAATTGCCCCCTAGCACATTCAAGACCTTTCGGACAAAGTGGTCGAGACCCAACAAGAGCTTTCTTGAAGATGCTTGCTGTCCCTGGCGACTGCCAAAGAACATTGATGATGTTCTTGGGCCTGGGAAGGGTTTGAACGATGGAGGCTTGGAGATTTAGAGCCAATGTAAAGGGATACATGCGAATCTACAGGGGTATATAGGGTTAGGGGAATGTTACCGCAAAAGTGGAGAATCAAATAAACAAGAACATGGAAAATGAAAAGAAAGGGATGTATGTAGAGGCTGTATGGAAAGTGGGGAAAGCAGGGGTCTAGTTCAATACCAACATCATGTTTTGGTAACCTATGCCATAAGTATACAGGGAACTAGAGCCGTAGACAGAGCGTGTTGTGTAGAAGCAGGTTTAACCTCACCGCTGACTGCAGTCAAAAAAAATCATTCAACCTGCATTAAACCGATCTCTAGACGCGAAGAGCAGCGAGCAGAACAAGTGTCTTGGGCCTTTGAGCCGAGAAGATACATAGCCACGCTCATCCCTTTGCAAGAAGCTCAGCAAAGCGCGACATGCGCCATAGACTCGCATTCGCACGCAAAAGAAGTAGCACTCACGAGGACCATCCTGCATGTATGTAACCGGCGAGCTTCATATCGTTTTTTGGGGCCGTAGAGCGCGCATCGAGCCGGCTTAACAATTCGTCTGCTTCGCAGGTAAACTAAAGATCCACACGGTGGAAGCAGTGATATTCCCCATTAGCTACGAAGGGTGTGAACTTCGGATTTTGTGAAGGACTTGCTTGCGCGCATCGCGTTGCTGATCCCACATTTCCTTTCAAGGCTTCCAAGCTACACGTGCACGAGCGGATTACGAATGGTCCTGTTGTACACTGTATGGATTACGTTGGAGAGAGCATCTGTGGACACGGAGCACTAGCGCAGAGTTCCATGCGCACCTTTTTCAGCTTTTTTACTGAGCGCTCTTGTCTCACTGCCTGTAGGACCAGTGTCGATCTGCGCCGAGGCTGTCCAGAACGATTCCTTGGAGAGATCTGACCGCATTGTCACCGCAAACAAAGGTTGCTTTAGGCAGCGAGTCTGCCAAGGTTCGGCCCCAGGTCCAGACTTGCTCGTGGTCCTTGTGCCTTGCCATGACCTGAGCCAAAGCTTCGGGGACCGAAACATCTTTGCAAAACGCCTGCTTGCAGCCGCTGCTGGTTGTCTTGGGACAGGGCTGCCTTGACCAGACCCTCAGCACCGCCTTCTTTCACGTCCGCAGTACAGGCCAGGACTTCCAGCAACCTGCCAAGTCACTGTACTAACTTCACATCTCATTTTGAAAGGTTACATCTGCAAACGGGTGGCTTAGCCAAGCTGGAGAGCGCCACCACCTCCAAAGAGAAAGTCAGCTTAGTGAGCCTTGAGTGATGCCTAGCTGCCCTAGCTATCACATGATGTGCACGCGAGGCTTCGCACCTGAAGAGCCACCACCTTACCGGGAGAAATGTCCAACACATGCTTACAGAAAGGGTCTGAAATCCCTATTGCTGAATGTGTTTGAATTGTCTTCGTAGAGCCCGCTTTAATTTTCTGCAGTGGACAGCCTCCACAGATTTCTGCAATATCGACTTCACGGGCTCTGGCAGTGCAAATGCATGAGAGTTCTCGCAAGGCCTTGGTCTGCTGGGGCACGAACATCGAGATGGCGCTGCATGGCTTGCTTCGTCAGAGTCACGATCCGAGCACAATCCATATCGCACCTAAGCTTCCCCGCTAAAGTGGGTTCACAGCTGGGCCTAGAAAGGACACAAGCGGTTGTCAAGAAATGCCTTTCCACCGCTGAGCTGATGCTGAACTAGCTGCAACTCCTGTACTGGGAGTGGCCAGTCCAGCACTGACACCTTCAACTGCGGTCAACTGCCACGCTGCCCGAATCTGGGTTCAGCTGCCGCATGCCATCATAGAGTGAAAGCCAGGCTGCTAGGAAAGAGATGCAGCTCATCTGCAGCGAAGCATCCTCAGTCCACACACCGACAAGGTCTGCTGCCCCACTCTTGTAACAACGGCCTGCTTCTTTGGAATTCTGGTTTTGCACCTGTTGCCCAAAAGACACCCATCCCCAACCCCACCCTTTGGCGTCAAATCATCCACAGCACAAAAAAATCATTTAATGTTAGGGGGGTATTGATTGAAAGAATTGGATGGGGCTCCCTCTAAAATTTTGCAAAATCAGCTAGAATCAATCCTAACTAAAATCAATCATCATCTAGCTAATTTCAAGTAAAATTTCAAACACAAAGAATCCTTCATTTTGTATTTGGATTGGATGATTGGACTTTCGTATTCATTTTGAATGATTATTTTAATTTTCTGAAAATATCTTATATGAAAAAAATGAAAATTGAAATGATCAATTTTTCGCCAATAAAGATCTCCCTAATTTGAAATCAAAAAATCAAGTATAAATGACACTCAAGTACAATCAACTGACAACGAAATAAAGCTAACTAGAACCCAATCCAAAGTCCAATTAAGCCGCATATTTCCTGTCTAATCTAAATTCAAGAAAATCCAAATTGCACCCTATCAAGCAAACCAACTGCCAATCCGATCAGAATAGCTTCATATCCAATACAGTCAACTAAAATCGAAGCAACAACAATTTGCAAATCGAATGAAATTGTAACAGACCCGCATTCAAAGCACATGACAGTCTAACCGACATCAAGGATTTAGTTCAAGCCCATGTATGAAAATGGAATAAACTCACGAGAAACCAAGTGAAGTCAATTGCAATCTACTTACCAGTGACAATCAATTTAGATCGAATCAAAGAAGCGAAATTCTGAGGGCACACGCGAATTTTTTTTTAA